GATCTCAGCTCACTGCAAGCTCCGCCTCCCGGGTTTACGCCATTCTCCTGCCTCAGCCTCCGGAGTAGCTGGGACTACAGGCGCCCGCCACATCGCCCGGCTAGTTTTTTGTATTTTTTCAGTAGAGACGGGGTTTCACCGGGTTAGCCAGGATGCTCTCCATCTCCTGACCTCGTGATCCGCCCGTCTCGGCCCCCCAAAGTGCTGGGATTACAGGCTTGAGGTTTCTAATATTTTTATTTTTATTTTTGAGACATGGTCTTACTCTGTCCACCAGGCTGGAGTGCAGTGACACAATCTTGGCTCACTGCAGCCTCCATCTCCAGGATCAAGTGATCCTCAGTCTCCTGAGCAACTGAGACCACAGAAATTAGCCACCACGCCCGGCAAATTTTTGTATTTTTTGTAGAGATGGGGTTTTACCTTGTTGCCTAGGCTAGTCTCGAACTCCTGGGCTCAAGGATCCACACACCTTGGCCTCCCAAAGTGGTGGTATTACAGATGTGAGCCACTGCACCTGGCCTGGTTTCTAGGTTATTTCCAAGTATATAATCAATAAAGGACAGTTCTTCATGTTGATTTTCGAGTGTTCTGACCCTGTGAAGATAAAGTGTTAAGATGACACTCATTTATTTTTGTTACTATTGTTAGCAGAATTAATGTTACTTATTTTAGAGCCTTGGCATTTTTTGAAATGTCTTCATTTGATAATTTTGCTTATAGGAATGTATCTTTAAAAAATTCCTGAAAAAGTTTTGAACATAAAACTTTACCACAGGCCAGGCGTGGTGGTTTATGCCTGTAATCCCAGCACTTTGGGAGGCCAAGGTGGGTGGATCACCTGAGATCAGGAGTTCAGGACCAGCCAGGCCAACATGGTGAAACCCCATCTCTACTGAAAACACAAAACGGAGCTGGGCGTGGTGGTGGGCACCTGAGTAGTGGGTAATCCCAGCTACTCAGGAGGCTGAGGCAGGAGAATCACTTGAACCTGGGAGGCAGAGGTTACAGTGAGCCAAGATCACGCTGCTGCACTCTATCCTGGGAAACAGAACGAGACTCTCTCTCAAAAAAAAAAAACTTCACCACAGTGACTAGGCGTGGGGGCTCATGCCTATAATCCCAGCACCTTGGCAGGCCAAGGTGGGAGAATTACTTGAGCCCAGGAGTTTGAGATCAGCCTGGGCAACATAGTGAGACCCGATTCATACAAAATATAAAAAACTTATGCCGGGTGCAGTGGTTCTTGCCTGTAATCCTAGCACTTTTGGGAGGCCAAGGCAGTTGGATCACGAAGTCAGATTGAGACTATCCTGGCTAATACGGTGAAACCCCGTCACTACTAAAAATACAAAAGATTATCCAGGTCTGGTGGCAGGCGCCTATAGTACCAGCTGCTTGGGAGGCTGAGGCAGGAGAATCATTTGAACCCAGGTGGCAGAGGTTGAAGTGAGCCAAGATCGAGCAACTGCACGCCAGCCTAGACAACAGAGCAAGACTCTGTCTCAAAACAAACAAACAAAAAAAATTGGGCCTGGTGGCATATGCTTGTATTAATAGTTTCAGCTACTCAGGAGGCTGTGGTGGAAAGATCGCTTAAGCTCAGGATATCAAGGCTGCAGTGAGCCATGATTGCATCACTGCACTCCAACCTGGGTGACAGAACCCTGTCTCAAAAAACAACAAAGAAAATTTCACCACAACATCATTTATATTATTAAATAATTGCAGTCAGCTTAAGTATATCAAACATTAGAGGGATGGTAAATGAATTATGATCTACCAACTTAATAAAGTATTATGCAGCAACTTGAAAGTATGTTTATCAAGACTTTCATAATAAGGTTAAGTCATTATGTTATAATGTTAAGCAAAGAAAAGAAGGTTACAGAATTCTGTATTCAAAATGATTTCAACTATGGGGAAAATGCATATTAAAAACACTCAAAAGAATGTGTAATACTTAGTGTGATTCTGAAATCTGATTTTTTTTTTTTTTTTT